CCAAGCCCGCGTCCAGCGTCTTGGTGAGGAGCGCAAAGACGGGCTGCAGGAGCGCGTGCCAGTCGTTGACGATCGCGGCGGCGGCGACGCGAGCTTCCAGCGCCTCCAACTTGAGCTCGAGCAGCTCGATCGCGAGCGTCGAGTGCATGGGCACGACGGCGTCCAGCGCCAAAATGTAGTCCGCAAAGAGGCCGAGGGACGTGGCCGCGAGCGCGGGCTGCTCGTCGATTGACGTCTTGAGCGCCTCGAGCTGCAGTGTCGTGTCCTCGAGGTACTCGGCCGTCGCGCTGTCGGCCACAAGGTGCGCTTCGTACGCCAGATCGACCATGTCCTGGACGAGCGCGATCGCATCGTCCGCGATCTCGTCGATCTCGTGGCCGCAGGCGGCGTCCTCTTCGACGTCCTCTTCCGTGTCGTCGTTGGCGTCCGCCTCGTCGTCCGAGTCGTAGTTGCCCGTCATGTCCAGCGTCGATGTGGGCGACGGGATGTCAATGGGCGCCGACTTGTGCACAAGCTGCGTCGTGGCGCCGTCGTCGAGGTTCGTTGTGGCGACGTCGGCCGTCGGCGCTGCCTCGACGGGTGCGCTGGCAGTGGCGGCTTGCCGCGCGCGCAGGGCCAGGTAGACGTCGGCGGCGCCGATGGCGGCGGAGACGAGGGACACGGCAAGGAGGCAGAGCATGGCGAGAGGCGGGCTTGTTGCGAAATGATATGCGAATCACCAAAACTGGAATTGAGAATCGAGAATTGAGAATCCTGTAATTCTGAATTTTAATCTTGTCTTGCGTTTTGTATGCAAATGCCAGGTTTATTGAATGCATTCGCAACCAGCGCACGAGTTTGGCGAAAGCGTGCGATGTGATTGGCTATCCCACTGGACACGATCGGTTTGACTTGTGGTTTGTATGTCATGGTATGCGCCTCGCTCGAATTCGCCTAAAAAGTAGTCTCCATCACAGCGCCACAGCCATGCCACGTCACAACCATGTTGGCTCCTTGCATCAAGCACCAGCCAAACGCTTGAGGAGGAAATCCTTCAGAAAAGCAACCCAGTCTTGCCTCGACGATCAAACCTACGTCGCGTTAGCTACGATACATCGGCTTTGTCGTGTACTTGGCGCGTCAAGCGACACCCCCGATGCAGCCATCTTGGCGTACAAAAGCAGTCAAGATGGTTTTATTCTCGCAGCTTAGGCCCCTCGATGATTGTCGCGGTACTTGGCAAAAAAGTCGAGCATTTTGTCATCGATTTGCGGCGTAATCATCGCGAGTGCGGTCGTAAAGTGCCGCGACGCAACGGCGCGCGTGCTCGTGTCCTCTTGGATCGCAGCGAGCGCAGCTTCGCGGCAAAAGGCAGCGAGCTCCGCGCCGGAGAAGCGGTCGGTCCAGCGCCCGAGCGCTGCCATGTCGACGTCGGCGTCCAACGGCATCTTGCGCGTGTGGATGCGCAGGATCTCTTCGCGGGCAGTTGCGTCCGGGGGTCCGACGTAGAGCACGCGGTCGATGCGACCCGGTCGCATGAGCGCAGCGTCAATCAGATCCGGTCGGTTGGTAGCCGCGACGATGATGACTTTTTTCAGGGGCTCGATGCCGTCGAGCTCGTTGAGAAGCTGGCTCAAGACACGGTCGCCGACCTAGGACAGCACGTCGCAGTAGCCAACAAGAACGCGGTTGCTTCTGAACGTACACTGGACGAGCTCCCACCGGACCGAGAGCTGGCGACCGCGTCGATCTCGTCAAAGAAGACGACGCTGGGCGCGGCGGCGCGGGCCTTGGCAAAGATGGACTGGATCGCCTTCTCCGACTCGCCGACCCATTTCGAGAAGAGCTCGGGGCCCTTGATCGCGATGAAGTTCATGCCACCTTCGGTCGCGAGCGCCTTGGCCGTTAGCGTCTTGGAGCACCCTGGCGGACCGTAGAGCAAGATGCCTTTGGGTGGACGAATGCCCATGCGCACAAAGGCCTCGGGGTGCTGGAGCGGCCACTCGACGGCCTCTTTCAGCTGCTGCTTGATGTTGCCTTGGCCACCAATCTCGCTCCAAAGCACGCGCGGTACATCCAACGTAATCTCACGGAGCGCGCTCGGGCGGATCTTGGTCATCGCGGCGGTCATGTCACTTGGTAACACCGTCACGTGGTCGATGGACCGTCTCAGCGCCAGCAGCGCTGCCTCTTTGCAGAGCGCACTGAGGTCGGCACCGACGTAGCCGTGCGCGCGGCTTGCGATCGCTTCGAGGTCTTGGTCCGAGACTGTGTGCGGCATGCGGCTCAGTGTCTTGCGCAAAATGAGCAGTCGGTCGGCGGCAGACGGGATCGGAATCTCAATCTCGCGGTCAAGGCGACCAGGTCGGCGCAGTGCCGGGTCCAAAGCGTTCGGGCGGTTGGTCGCGGCCAAGACAACGACGCCAGGCGCCGCATCGAGGCCGTCCATGCACGTCAGAAGCGTCGCCACGACCCGCCGCTCCATGTCGCCGACGTTGGAATCGCGCTTGGGGCAGAGCGCGTCGATCTCGTCAATGAAGACGAGCGCGGGGCTCTGCGCGGCGGCCGCTTGAAAGATCGCGCGCACCTACACAAGATCATCGAGAGCTGTCGTGGCAGTCATCACAAGAGCATGTGTGTACGTTGGCTTCGCTTTCGCCGACGAACTTGCTCACGAGCTCGGGGCCGTTGATCGTAAACACCTTGGCCTTGGCGGCTGCAGCGACCGCGCGCGCAATCATGGTCTTGCCTGTACCTGGCGGGCCATACAGAAGGACGCCTTTCGGCGGCGGCAGACCAAAGCGGGCGAACAGCCCCGGGTTCACGAGCGGCTGCTCGATGAGTTGCCGTACAGCGTCGATCTGGTCGCGCAAGCCGCCGATTGCGTCGAACGACTGTGCCAACGGCGCGGACGCTGGCGTAAGCGACGGATTCGTTGTTGTCCAATGGACGGTCGTGGTCGTGTTGGCCATGATGACGTAAATGTTGGTGTCGGTCGGCGCCGAGAGCGGTGTCTTCCCGACGCACGTAAGCACCTGGAAACGCCGGGCCACGCCGTGTACGGAGAGGACTAGGATCGCGTTCTCGAGCAACATCGCGCCAAGCAGCATCGAGCGCACGTATGTTGTCAAGAGCACCTGCTCCTTCTCGGCCAGCGACGGAAGGAGTCCTTGCGCATTCGGTAGCGCTTGGAGCGTGATGCCAGTAGCAACGACGCGCGTCACGTGTGGGTGCTTGTACAAGCCGCACACCTCGACCGCGTCGAGGCTTAGCTGCTCCATTGCGTCCTTCCAGACAGACCCGACAACAACCATGCCTCGCTTCGTCTTCTCCGAAGGCCACACCAGACCCGACAGAAGCGCACGCCCGGGCCCATCGTCGTCGCCTGCCGCGCAAATCACGATCGCATCGCCAGTCGCAAAGCCATGACCCTTCATGTCGGCGAGGTGCATGTTGATGCGCGTGATGATCTGGACCGAGCGCGGGTCCGACGAGCCATGCAGGGCGCGACCGACCTCGAGCTTGAAGAAGCGCGTAGGCGGTGCCACGTCATCGGTCTTTGCCGGCGCCTTGGCCGCGTGTGTTGCCGGCGGCTGCTTGGCCTTCTTGTTCTTGGCCATCCTGCAAGATGACTGGCGCAAATCTGCGGGGGCGTCCGGATACGCCTCACCGGATAAAAATATTACGGTTTCGTCCATGAAACGGTCAACTCCTTCAAAACAAAGGTGCGACTGTCACACCGTTGTTCACGCTGTTGCAATCTTCGAGCACGGTGGTCGCCGCAAGAACCTTCCCCTACACACCCAGCCCAACGACGACACGTATCCAAGTGGTATCGTATTATGTATTTGGTGCACATCTGGGCCTAAGCAAGCTCGCCGACAGTAGACATCGAAAACCTTATAATTAATACGCGCGACACGGAGCTCTTCTCTCCTAGTTCGCGTGCGGGCCTTCGTTTGGGCTCGAGCGGTACACGGTCAGGCCTTGAATGCCGCTCTCGAACGACAGCTTTTGGCCGGCGGGCACGAAAAACACGTGGCCCGTCGAGAGTTCGAGCTTGGACGTCAGCGCGTCGTCCGGGGAATAGTGGGCATAGCCTTGGCCCGACAGCACGAGCAAGATCGAAGGACCGGCGGCCGGTGCCAAAGTGTAGTGCTCCAGCGGCGCCATGTCCATGCGCTGGACTTGAAACTCGGGCACGGGCGGCGTATACTCGGTCACGACCGCGTCAATCGCATTGCCTTGGCCGATCGGCGGCGTGCCCGCTCTGAAAATACGAGGTCAGTCACGGCCTATGCATCGCGTAGCGCGTTGCTTACTCGTAGGTGAGCATGTCGCACAGCGTGTTCTTGTCAATGAACTTGGGCGTTAAACCGGCACGCACGACGTTGTCCGAGCACGCCATGCATTCAATGCAGTCGCCTATACACATGTTTGTCACTTGAACGCGGGCAACATGAAGGCGAGGTACCCGAGAGGTACGCATGGGGCTCGTTGGCGCCGAGGAAGACGGCGTCGCCAGGCTCCATGACAATGTAGTTGAGCAAATATGGGCAGAACGCGCCAATGTCGTTCGGGTACTGGTCGTTCAAGCGCAAAATGAGCTTCTGCAGCGGTGTGCGCGCGTCCAGCGCCTCGAGGCGTTCGCGGTGGTTGGCCAGTTGCGCAATCGCCTCGTCGTGGTCGCAGTACACAAGCGCCTGGAAGAACGCTCGGAGCGTGTCGCGGTCGTGGCTTTCGATGAGCGCGTTCGAGATCGCGGGGTCCACGAGTGCGCGCAGCTCCGGCACCTCTTGAATGTGCTCCACAATCTCTTCGATCGGACGGAACCGGCACCTAAGGCAGTCGACGACGCGGCATGAGAGACCGCATGACTGCTGTGGCGACGACGTACAGCGCTTCGAAGCGATTGACCGCTATCGCCATCTCGGGCTTGTGGTTGTCGTCCTTGTAGATGAGCGGGAAATCAGCGTGAAGCTTCTCGGCCAAATCCTTGTCGGGATGGGCCTGGATGGACAGCGCCGTGTTCACGGAGAGAACCTTGAAGAGGTACGGAATGTCGCCGTCAATGTCGCCGAGCGCCTCGGGGTGCGCCTAGAACGCCTCATGAGCTCTCGCCGCCGCCGCGTCTGCTCGCACCTGCAGCCAGTCCGAGAGGAGTTCAATCGTGCCGTCATGGCCGACAATCTTGGATGGGCCGTTCGGGTGTGTGCCCATCCAGAGCTCGGCGTACGTCTCGTCTTCTTGGACCTTGAATGTGTGCTCGCTCGCCGACTAGAACAGAGGTGAGCGTGATGGCGCCGGGTATATGGACGCACCTTCAAGGCGGCGACGGCGCTCTTGGAGCCCTTCTTGCCCCATGCATACTGCTGGGCGACGCACTGCAGGCGGTACATGGAGGGACGTCCGAGGGAAGTGACAGAAATGGAAAAGTGAACTTGTAACGCTGTCGATTTCTCACACGTCTTTTTATATTCCCTTTAAATTATGTGCGTGCGTATCCGGCGCACATTCCACTATATCCGGACGATCGCGTTCGAACTTCGATGGCCTGCCGCACTCAACGTAGCTTTTGACTAGCCTTGCACGGGAGTTGTGCAGCGCTTGCGACCCTGTGTCCATGGCGCATCTGATCGTACCCAAAAGAGACGCGCGGGCACGGAATCTGCGCCGTCAATACGACAGCGCCATCGCCGCCGCTCCAAGTTGACCATGATTCAAACAAATAGTGTTACTTCTGAACCATACGCCATGAAATGGGATCCATATTCTTGATGTTGTCAATGGAGGTACTGCAGATACGGGTACATCGTTGTTAGAGCGCAAACTATGGCGCGGGGACGTGTGAGTGCACACAACGTTCGCTACGAAAGCAAGCGATGCAGCCAGGCGCTAATGCTCGTGTTTGGCTGCGGCACGCTAGTGTGCGTTACACTATTTGCAGTGTCCACGTGGAGGCGCTTTTACGGATACAAAAACAGATCGTCCGGATGAAATCCGAAGATTCGAAGCTGGCAGATTTTGTTGGATACGGGTCACGGACGCGGCAACGGCGGCAAGACCGAGCATGGGCATCACGGACTGTTTACGCAACCATCGTATCCTCTTCCTCGGGCAGAGCATCTCGCTCTTCATCACGGCCACGAGCATCTGCACGCAAGAGCTCACGCTCAACTACGGGGTACGTGGCAGGCTACGGACGCGCTGCTAGACCGTATCGGCTCATGGATCCGCCAACGCCTGTAGGTCGAGCTCGCAACGACGCAGAACGTGGGCAACTACTTTCTCTTGATCGGATACCTCGCGCATCTATGGTGGACGACGCCTGACTTCCGCTCCGAGGTGCGCGCCGATTGCAATGACCATACTATTGGTGGGCGAGTGACAAGTTGCGTGGTAGACACCGTGGTGGCAGTATGCGCTCATCGCACTAGCGGACGTCGAAGGCAACTTCCTCACAGTCCTCGCGTACAAGTACACGACGATCACGAGCGTCATGCTGCTCGACTGCTTTACGCTGCCCGTGGTCATGTTCCTGTCCATCAATTTCCTGGACGCCAAGGTATGTAGCAGCGCGAACGCGATCCAGCATCCTGACGCGTGTGTAGTACACGCGCGTGCATTTCACCGGCGTCGCCTTGTGCTTATCAGGCATCACGTTCCTCATGATCTCGGACATTGTCCGCGCGCAGGACCAAGTGGACGCGTCGACCGACTGGCACGCGCTCTTCGGGGACCTTCTTTGCCTCTTTGGCTCGACGATCTACGCCATCTCGAACGTGGCCCAAGAACACTGCGTGAAGACCAAATCTCGGGTACGACCGCTCGCACCCTTTTATTCGAGCCTCATGCGTGGCACATAGCGGGAGTTCCTCGGTATGCTGGGCCTCTTTGGCTTTGCCCTCAGCGCCGTCCAAGCCTACGCCTACGAGCGCCACACCTTTGAAGCCATCGAGTGGTACGGCTGCACGTCCATGGGTGATGGTATTCAAGCTTGTTTGGTGCATTAGGTCGGCGGGAAGTGTCGTCTTCTTTAGCGGCTACGTCCTCGGGCTCTTCCTCATGTACTCGGTCACCTCGGTACAAAACGACATGCCATGAATATCGCGCCCGCAATCTCAACGCTTGGATCCCAATAGGTCATGCTGCGGGAAGGCGACGCGGCGATCTTCAACATGTCGTTGCTCACGTCCGACTTTTTCGGGGTCGTCGCTGGCGTCTACTTGTTCCAGCAGTCGCTCAGCTGGCTCTACTGCGTCGGCTTTGTCTTCATCATCTCGGGCCTCGTTGTCTACAGCCGCGCACCACCGCCGACCGCTCGGGGCATCGAAGGACACAAGGCCGACGACGCCACCATCCGTCTGCTACCCGAGGCCAAGTAACTTCTAGACGTCCTCTCTACTAGCGACCTTAGTGAATGCTGTACCCAATCTGCGAGAGTTCCGTTCGAGAGAGGGAGAAATTAGTGAAGTCGTCGACTGGTTCATGCAGTAGTTGTAAAATTAATCCTTCTTGACGTCGAGGCTCTCGAGGGCCTTGGCGGCGGCGTCGCCGGCCGAGGTGTCCTCGGCGTCAGCGCCAGCTTCGAGGGCCTTGTTGATCTTCTTAGCGTTGTCGTGGGCTTCCTTGAACGCCTGGGCGTTCTCGGCGTTGGCGAAACGCAACGCGAACGTCTTGGCCTCGACGACGCCCTCCGAGAAATCGTAGCACGTCCAGACCCAGGCACGGTCGCTGCCCATGTTGGCACCCAACTCGGCGCGCGACTCGACCAAGTGGTTGATCGTAATCTTGAGCGTCTTCTCCTGGCGCATGAGCATGCGGACCTTGCCAGCCTCCTTGTGCTTGAGGAAGCGGACGTTGCCGATA